ATAGTGAGAGTATTGGTACTTAGTGAGAGTATTGGTATATAGTGAGAGTATTGGTATAAAGTGAGAGTGTTGGTATATAGTGAGAGTATTGGTATATAGTGAGAGTATTGGTACTTAGTGAGAGTATTGGTACTTAGTGAGAGTATTGGTATATAGTGAGAGTATTGGTACTTAGTGAGAGTATTGGTACTTAGTGAGAGTATTGGTATATAGTGAGAGTGTTGGTATATAGTGAGAGTATTGGTATAAAGTGAGAGTGTTGGTATATAGTGAGAGTACTGGTACTTAGTGAGAGTATTGGTACTTAGTGAGAGTATTGGTACTTAGTGAGAGTATTGGTATATAGTGAGAGTGTTGGTATATAGTGAGAGTATTGGTATAAAGTGAGAGTGTTGGTATATAGTGAGAGTACTGGTACTTAGTGAGAGTATTGGTATTTAGTGAGAGTATGGGTGCTTATTGAGAGTATGGGTACTATGGGTACTTAGTGAGAGTATGGAAATCTGAATCCTGATCATGATAAGAATGCTCCTCACATGCACACCCACATACACCTAAACTGTAGTGTGTGAACGCTCTGCTGAGAAAGCCATGCTTGACGTAGGAGAGGAGAGATGAATAAGAATCTACAGTAAACAAGGGCAAACTGACCATCCCTTATCACAAACACACTTCACACTTTCCCAAAGCTATCACTCTCTCAGAATCAAGATGTTTAGATATTTATGAATGTACGAACTGTTTAAGCATTCACGCTTTATCTCCGAACACCCCCTCCCACGTGTGGCAGAAAAATTCCAGGGCTACCTGGCAGAACTTGTTGAGAGATTTCTCTCTTGCTGCAGGTGTCACTTTCCTAGAACATTCCTGCAGGTTAAACTGAGGCTTTGTGATGCCTGTGTGATTTGTTAGTGCCCCTCCTTGATATATCTCTACCCTGAGGGTACAGGTTCTGTTTCAGGCTATTCTAAACTCCTGTCGTCAGCCAGCACTTCTAGCACTTTTATGGCTCGACAACTAAATGGTTATAGATGGGTCATTGTCTGCTCTTTATTTTAAAGGTTGTAAATGCAGAAGTATTTGTTTTCTCTGCTTTTAATGTAGCAGTGAAAACAAGTCACAATGCATGAAATCCCACTTAATCTCCTCATGTTTCCTTTTTTCATCAGATTTTAGAGCCTGTACACAATCAGATCTTTAGATGATCACACAGGTCTTTAGATTATTCTTTTTATTGTCAACCTTCTTCACATTCATTGCATGCGTATGAATGAACATCAATGGAAATTTGGCATGCTGAAAGTCTTGTGTGACCATCATCAGTTATTACTCTCATCAGTTATCTGTTTGTTTGTTTTTTCATGAATAGCGTAGACCACCATGATGGCTGATTGTGTCTCCTCAGTTTATTTCAATCTTCTATTATCAGGCTTTTCCCTTCCTTTCTGTCTGCCTCTCTTTTTCTCTGTCTTTATCATGAGAGAATAATTATATCAAGGAATGAGTTGATAGTTTAACCACATGAAAAGACATCACCTCTTGAGAAGGGTTTCCTCCATAAATGGCCACGTCCTTGCAGCGTGAACATGCAGGACTAGATTAAGCCATAACTCTTTAAAGAGAAAGTTTTATGGCCTTTCTCATCTAATACCAGTTTGATTCTGTTGATTCTAATGGAGTTCAGATAGAGTGAAAATCACATCCTTAGACAATTCTGTTTTTTTTGTTTTAAAAGAAAGTTTCTGACAGACTGGTAGAAATTGTCCAGAATAGATCATATAGTTAAGTGGCTTATGTTTTAGAAGCTCTAAACTTCAAATCTACTGGGGACGCACAATATTATCACTATTAGCAAATAATTGTTAAAATTATATGTTTCAATATTAATAATTGAAAAATTTGCTGACCGATTTATTGTACTGAAGAGCAACACCAGTCTTAAAATGTCTTGTTATATTTCCAGTTGCCTTTATTTTTATTACATTGTCTATGAAAAAGGAAAGAATAATAATTATTACCAGGACCAGGAAGTACTACCGTTTAAGGCTACAGCTGACTGTGGATATGGCTCAGCAGACATATTTAATGTTTTCATGGACGGTGTAGAAAACTAAAATGTTTAAAAATGACTAACTTCACAATGTGAATTTTTTTTGTGTATTGGAATTGGCAAGTACACCCACCGTCCACTTTATTAGAAACAAAGGCGCATTCATGCAATCATATGATCAGCCAATCATGTGGCAGCAGCAAAATGCTAAAAAATCATGCAGATACAGGTCAAGAACTTCAGGTAATGTTCAAATCAAACATCAGAATGGGGGAAAAATATGATCTCCATGACTTTAACTGTGGCATGGTTGTTGGTGCCAGATGGGCTGGTTTGAGTATTATTTAGAAACTGCCTTTCCCCTGGGATTTTCACAAAGAACAGACTCTAGAGTTTACACAGAATGGTGTGAAAAACATAAAACATTCCTGCATGCAGATGGAAATGTCTTGTTGATGAGACAGGGCAGAGGAGACTAGCCAGACTGATTTAAACTGACATGAAGTTAACTTCATGGTAACTCAAATAACCACTATTTACAACCATGGCCTCAGATTCTGCTGTTGTAGCTCATCCAAGTCAAGGTTCAAGGTTTTGTGCATGAGAAAGTATATGAGTTTCCTTATCCTTCCTGGCTGCTTGAACCTATCTATCCATTTTACAGTGACCTCACTTATCAACAAGGCATTTCTTCCCACAGAACTATTGCTCACTTGTTTTTTGTTTTCACACCTTTCTGTGTAATCTCCAGAGACTGTTGTGTGGGAAAATCACAGGAGATTATTTCAGCAGTTTCTGAAATTCTCAAACCAGACCATCTGGTACCAACATCCATGCCACAATCAAAATCAGAGAGATCACTTTATTCTGATGTTTGATGTGAACAATAACTGAAACTCTTGCCCTGTATCTGCATGACATTTTTTGCAAGGTGCTGCTGTCACATTATTGTCTAATTAGATAGCTGCATGAATGTGCAGATATACAGGTGTTCCTAATAAAGTGGATGGTGAGTGTATATTTGCCTTACAAGTATTGGAGATCACAAGCAAATATTTCCAGTCTTTCTTTTAATCTCTCTCTCTCTCTCTCTCTCTCTCTCTCTCTCTCTCTCTCTTTTCTCTCTTTTTTTTTTCTCTCTCTCTCTCTCTCTCTCTCTCTCTCTTGCACTTTTTTATTCTCTGTGGTGGTTCTCTTTCTTATATTATTGCATATTGTAAGATTCAATATTTTTCCCACTTGGACTCTAAACAGGCATTTTCACTGTATATAATGTAACTATCTTTGTTTATTAGATAAATAGAGTGCTAATAGTCTGTAGAGAGATGATGTCTGTTTTTCTGAATCAGGATTTTGAGAGCTTTTCAGTCTTTCCCCCACCTCATTGTTGAGTAAACAAAAAGTCAAAGATGGAATTATAATAAAGATAATCTCTAATAAAGTTAGAGAAAAGAGCAGTGATGAAAGCCTAACATTTTTTATCAGTTGATGTATTTAACTTTTTAAAGGTCATTTTTTTTATGAAGAAGATGAGGAAAGACGAGAGGGTTCCGTTAAGGGCATAATTAAAGCATGCAATTAAAACTGTACCTGTTGGTGCAAAATATATGAGTGAATCAACAATTCTTATATTTGTCCAAATTTTTGAGTTTTCACCACAAACTGAGAGGAGAACATTACTATGGTTGACATGTGAGGGCAAACAGAGGAACGAAAAACAGTTGCCTTGGGGTTTTTAAGCCTCATTTAAAAAGACACATTCCATAGGGTAAGCTACATTAACATCTATATTTTCATGAAATTGCTGCAAGTACTTGCCTGTTTCGACCTTTAAAAATGTCATCTGTCTACTATCAAGGTTTAAATGGATTAGTGCCATTTTCCCTCTCATTCCATCTTGTCATTGAATCTTTTCTTCCTTTACCTCGTCTGTTTACCTGTGTCTAATGTTGTCTATTCCTTTATCCACCGCTCCAATTTTCTTTCATCACTTTACCCAGAATTCCCTCTTAGACATAAATATTATACTTGGTCATTTATTTATTGAGTAAAACGAAATACAACACATACAAAAGTATGTGAACCTTTGCTTTCAGTATCTGGTGTGAGCCCTTCGTGCAGCAATAAGTGCAACTAGTTTCCGGTAACTGTTGATCAGTCCTGCCTACAGCTTGGAGGAATTTTAACCTGTTCCTCAGTACAGAACAACTTCAACTCTGGGATGTTGGTGGGTTTCCTCACATGAACTGGTTTCTTCAGGTCCTTCCACAATGTTTCTATTGGATTAACTTTATTCTTCTTTAACCATTCATTGGTAGAAGGACTCGTGTGCTTAGTGTCGTTGTCTTGCTGCATGACCCACTTTCTCTTGAGATTCAGTTCACAGACAGATGTCCTGATATTTTCCTTTAGAATTCGCTGGTACAATTCAAAATAATTTTTTCCATCAATGATTACAATCTGTCCTGGCCTAGAGGCCCAAACCATGATAGTACCACCACCATGTTTCTCAGATGGGATATGGTTCTTATGCAGGAAATCATTGTTTTCCTTTTTCCAAACATATCGCTTCTCATTTAAACCAAAAATTCTATTTTGGTCTAATCCATCCACAAAATATTTTTCCAACTTGTCCATACAGATGCGCAGCAATGTATTTTTGGAGAGGAGTGGCTTTCTCCCTGCAACGCTGCGATGCACACCATTGTTGTTCAGTGTTCTCCTGATGGTGGCCTCATGAACATTAACATTAATTTGTGAGAGCAACCTTTAGTTGCTTAGAAGTTACATTGGGTTCCTTTGTGACCTTGCAGACTATTACACGTCTTCTGCATGGAGTGATCTTTGTTGGTTGAACACTCCTGGGGAGGATAACAATGTTCTTGAATTTCCTACATTTGTATCAGTCTGTCTGACTGTGGATTGGTGGTGTACAAACTCTTTAGAGAGGGGCAGTGAGAGCTCGGTGGTTAAGGTGTTAGACTACTGTTTGGAAGGTTTTGAGTTCAAAACCCAGCAATGCCAAACTTCCACTGTTGGGCCCTTATCCCTCAGATCTATAAATGTCACTTTGTATAAGAGCATCCGCCAAATGCCATAAAATGTGAATAGTTTTGTAATCTTTTCCAGCTTAATGAGCTTCAAGAACTCTTTTTCTGAGGTCATGAGAAATCTCCTTTGTTCGTGTCATGGCATACTTTGATACTTCAATAATTCACTTTGATAGATCTCTGTTCTTTAAATAAAACAGGGTGCTCACTCACACCTGATTGACATCCCACTGAATAAAAACACCTGGCTCTAATTTCACCTTCAAATTAACTGCTTATCTTACAAGTTCACATACTTTTGCCACTCACAGATATGTAATATTGGATCACTGTCCTCATTAATTAAATGACCAAGTATAATATTTTTGTCTCATTTGTTTAATTGGATTTTCTTTGTCTACTTTTAGGACTTTGAAAATCTTTGAAAAAGTTTGAAAATCTGATGTTTTAGGTCATATTTATGCAGAAATATAGACAATTCTAAAGGGTTTACAAACTTTCAAGCACCCCTTTGCAAAAGCTTTCTCAGCTGCTTTGTGTTCATCTACAAGTCTGGTCAGGTGAAGTTTTTGCTGTTATTAGAAAGCATTCAGGGAGCCTCAGTCGTTTTTTTCATTGCGCTCGCTGTCATTTTCTCCCATGTATGACATGGGCGTGTTTAAAAAAAACATGTTAATCACTTGTATTGCAGTAAATGTGGAGATATTATGTATGTTATGTTATGTAATGAAAATGGAAACTATAAATTTTTTAAAACATTCATATCATTGCCATTGATCAGGTTTCATATTTCATTAGATTTTAAATTCATATAACTCACAAATTGTGCTTAGAGATCCCTTTCAGTGTAATAAATAAATAAATAAATAAATAAATCAACAGACACCCTTATGATCACTGTACAGATTCATTTTCTGAACATAATCTTATGGTTCATAGAACTATTCAAATATTAATCAGATGAGGTAAAAATGTACCATCATATTTATTTGTTGCCATCATTAGAGGGTTTTATTTTATAACCTTTACCCCCAGTGAATTAGGCTTCTAACTATAATGCTTAAATAGTAACTATAACAACTATAACGACTTCAGTAGTAGTTGAGGTTGACTTCAACCGTTATGTCTTTTTAAACGATAATAATAAAAATGTAGATGCCCAGGCTACATGTCAACCACTTCAATTTGTACAAATAGTAATCTCTAAACCTAAAAAATAATAGCTTTTTAAGTCATTATTATAATGATCTTTGTCAATAAAGCAAAGTGACCGTGGTGGTTAAAATTATACTGAAGTCCATAAAATTTCACCACTGCTCTGTCTGTGCGCTCTTCACTGCAGAATATGGTTGTTCCAGTGTGGGGAATGAAGGCAGTACAGTATTTTCCCTTGAAACGTTTAGGCCCTGAAGACACATTCCCGTGATGGCATTTGCATGATGGCATTCAAAGATGTGTAAAAGGGCAGGCCTCAGCTTAATCTACAACCTTCAGCAAACTGTCTGAACCTCACCTGTTTATTTGCGCCTCCATCTCCTCACCATGTCTTAACCTTTAAATGTGTGAGTGCTTCAGCAAGTGTTCATACATATAGATTGGTGTTAAGATTAAAGGAAAAAAACAACAACATGGGCCACCACAAGTGGCCAAGACAGATTCAATGCTCCTTTGCATAGATTGGTTTAGATATAAACATGTTCATAGGCATATATTGTAAGGATAGTAAAGAACCAGTATTATATAGTAATGTATACTAAGGAGCCACCAGTTTCCACATGTATGTGGAACTTTACTAGAGGAATATGCACCATTCTTGCAAAAGATAGTCCCTCAGTTGGTGTTGGAGAGCACTATCCAAAATGTCAGTCCAAAATCTCTTATAGGTGTTGATTTGGGTTGCGATTTGGTGCCAGTGAAGGATATAGTGTATGATTTTATTTTATTTTCATACTCATCAAACCACTTTGGGTACTGCAAGATAGTAATGTTTCCTTTGATTTGTTACTCATGTACTTCAGATAGTGTTACTATCTAAGACAAATCTATCCACAACATGCCCTGAGAGTGTAAAACTATTTTGTTATGTTTTAATATGATGTGTTCAGGACTAACTGCTAAATCTGTTTAAGTGTTAAAATAGGGAACGCACACATCCTTGTTGCTCTGTTCTCTCTGTACTCTCATGTGACCTCACTGTCGCTTTCATTTGTCCATTGCTCTTGCCCACCTCCTTACATTACTTTATGCATTTTACTTTATGCATTTTCTTTCTTCCACTGTATTTCCTTTTTTGTTAAATACTACAGGTAGAGACAATCACAGACTTTCGTCTCTGACCTTTAAGCAATCTCTCTTAGCTATAAATACCACAATGTATTTTACATGTCACCTGTTTCCAGGTTCCCTTCTGGGTATGTGAGAAAGAAATGGTTAGAATATTCATAAATCAAGCCATGAGTATGATGTCATGGACTGTAGTGGGAAGTGAAAAAAGAAAGAATAAGCAACAGGTAGTAAATCAATAAAAACTAATCTAAGCTACATTATGCCATTTCAGAAAAATTATTTAAAAAAAATTAATTAATTAAATAAAAACAAAGGTTGAAAATGTGTGTCGTCAATAGTGTCATGGCCAGATGTTTTTACAGCTTTTCAGATAAGCCCTCAATGCAATTATGCTATCTTATCCCAAGTGTTTTACAGAAAATTTAAATGTATTGCCTGTTTTCTTCAGCCATATCTAATTCTGCTTTGAGTCATTAGAAGCTCTGTCCCAGTTCGAGTACAGGTCAGCCAGCTGGTTCATAGAAACAGTCCACAGCTGGTTCATAGAGGACACGATGAAAAAATATACCACCTCTCATTTTTACTATCAGTCTGTTCATCATGCTCTTTGTGTGTTCTTGTGCCTCTCTTTCATGTTATCACCAGAATCTCACCACAGATTGAGTAATGTGCCTCAGATATAAGTTCTGAAGCGTTTTCTCAGCCTTGGGCCTCTTTCTTGTCTTATCAAAGATAATATTTTGCATTGCTCTGGCAGGTTTTTCCCAGTTTTTATTCTCTTGAACAAAGTTTCAAAAACTCATCAGAAATTTGCTAATGTCTTAACTTTGTCTAACTGGTTTTACTTGTCGAAAACTATTTGAGACAAGAGGTTTTTGGAGGTTACATTGATTATCAACCTTACAGTCCTGGTGTCAGAAGCTTAGAGAAAACATGTGTTTGTCTACCAGGATCTCCTAAAAAGGAATATTTTCAATAAAATTGTTGCACAAAAATGTCCCTGTCACCTGTATTTATGCTTTGGTGAGGCTGGTCCCACATGAGTTGTATTCCTCTTTATGTAGTAAAGGAAGTCACTGTTTGGTTTGCAGGTTGTTTACAAGGAAATGTATACGATATGCTTGCAAATTTATAAACTTAATGTCTTGTTTATATCCTGCGCTTTCAAATTTACATTTACAGCTAAGCTGCATATACAGTAAATTGACTGATGTCAAGATATTCAGTGTATTCAATTCTATTCCATTTTATTTGTATAGTGCTTTTAACATTGCACATCGTCTCAAAGCAGCTTTATAGAAACATATAAACACAGGACACAGATTTTAAATGTTTGAATTTATCCCTAAGCCGGTGGTGAGGAAAAGCTCCCCAAGATGATATCCCCAAGGGAACCCATCCTCATCTGGGTAACAACGGACAGTGTGAAAGTAAAGGAAAGTTCATTATGGTTTTTTACATGAAGTCTGTTTGTTGAACTAGTCCACCGTTCACCCTAGGAGACTTGAGTGCAAAACTGTATGCAGTAATTGCAGTCCAAAGGTCATAGCAGCAACTTTATAAGCTTGGACAAGCAGCAACCTTACAGTATAAACTATATATATATATATATATATATATATATATATATATATATATAAAGTATATCTCTATATACTGGGCTTACCATGAAATACATGAAATATATATGAGAAAACACATTCTAAGGCCTTAGTTAAACAAAAACCTATCTGTTACTCGTTAACTATTGCATGTTGTATAGAGATGCTCGAGAAACAATTCTCAGCACAGTTCCCCAAAGCCCCGGCAGACTTCCATTCCCCTACTGGTGTAAACTCTTAGCTCCTTCTCATAAGTTTTTTTTTCCTTAATATCAAAAAGCAGTGCAGTGCTTTGGTGTTGGGTCTGAACACTCCCCTGGGCTCTGGTCCATAATTCTGCTTTCTTGTTGGATTTTAATGGCTCCCTGTTTGGACTTTGAAGCCACAGTTTCTCTATACAGCTGAATTGTTGTTTCCTGTAGTGGTGACTAAAGGAATCTGTTGCGGCTTGTGGCTTGTTGAGCTCCATTTCCTGAGGTCATCGTGAGACACCACAGATCTGACATGTGTGCTTCGGCACTAACAAGCAACAGGGAGAGGATGTTTCTGATACACATCAATGTCATATCTGTATATACAAATGAGGCAGACACCCAAGAGCAACTGAAGCTGAAATGAAAACGTAGTTTTAAAGGTTCTTCCAAAAAGAGATTTACAACCAATAAAGATGTTTGTTGGATGTGATGTAACATCTCAGAATTAAAAGCAAGGTGTCTTATTTGTCATGAAGAATGTACTGTTATGCGTGGATGGAAAAAAGACTCACAGCATAACATCTGTACAAGTCCAAATCTGGTATTACTTGCTCTTGTCCAAGTTTTCCCTAAGTACATATACAGAAGAGAGAGAAGGGGAGGAAGACATGACACAACTCTTGACAGATAGAAAGCAAAAACTTGAGTAAATAAATTTCACCCATAAAGATCTGAGATATGACTCAGTAGCAAAAAAGCATCTTGCTCCTGTTCCTTCTTCTTTTATACGATTTCTAAAGCTCATGATTACATGTTTATTACTCATAGATGCAGTATATTTCACAGTAATACATTCAGGTAGTCATGGTTTGTCTTTTGTCAGTCAGTCAATT